GTCACTGTAATTTAATTCCATGTGGCAAGAAGTAAAAAACAGCAACACTTTGTCTGAAGTCTACCTACAAAAGAATTTCATAAGCACTGAAAAACATATTAATTTATTATAACAGTATTTGCAAGATATGACATTGTTCTGACACAAGGTGACATGACTGAAACGACACTGAAAAATTAAAATAAGTAATATGACTGTGTGAGTGCCTTTTAAGTTCCATTATTGGGGAATTATGCCTTCTAACAGTGTTGAACAATAAGCTGAACCAACCTCACTTTAGGTTAAGGGACTTTATATGTCAATAGAATGTCATTTACTTCATAAAACCTTATGACAGCTTGAAAATACTGTCCTTTATAAATACTTGTGTACTGCTGTTTAACTATGCTATTCTGTGCTTATGTGTGTGTTATGAATTCCCCATGTAGACAGCCTTCAAATTTTGCTAATAAAGTGGCATTTTGTGTTCATCATACACTTGAGTTGTTAAATCCTCAAATAGACTTGCTTATGCAGCAATACTATATAATGACTGTTAAAGAATGTCAGCACCAAACTAAACTACTAATTAAAATATGAACTGTATCTGTCTATGAAACATACATGAGTGTTTTCCACTTTCAGGTGTTCCTTATCTGGAGGAGAAGTTTCTCAGTGGCAGAAGGATCTTGTTGTTCTTTCGATTTTTCCCACCGATTCTTTGAAGTGCAACTACATTGCAAATATTTCTGTAAACCCGATGAGAAGTTTGAGGGGAGCTTGAGCCATTTCACACTGTGCAATGCAAACAAGCAGGCTAGACAGTGGAATGCGTTGCCATTGTCTTTGCACTCTTTAAAAGAAGGTTGTAGAACAGTACTTTAGTGAAGGGGGATTTAGCTACTAGGACAATGTGTTATTCTCTACTGGCTCTTCTCGCCAGCAAAACCCCCAGCATAATGCAGACTTGTTCCACTGAGCTATGGTGAGAGTGATTATGAGCTGGCCAGCTTGTTTCCAGCGATTGAGATAATGACTGAGTGTTTGTGTGGGTGGCTGCGCGGGGTCAGTTCCACGCTATTAAGCCCAGCGGTCCGTCAGCTTGATTTGGCCCTGCTGGCCCTGCTGACCATCATCTTGTGATCTTTAAATTAGAGGTGTTTACAGGCACAATCAGGACCCTGTAAAGACATTTTACTTTATATCAAGCCTACAGAACATCCTCATTCGTGAAAACAACACCTTTTGGATGGTTCATAGTTCAAATACAATTGTACTTTGTGAGCATAAACTGTAGAATGATTTACTCCACTTTTAGTACAAGATTTTGGAGGTTTTGAGCTTTTTAAGCTTTATTTAATGCTATTAGCTGTTGGTTCTTGAATGCAATGAATATTATGAATATCATGCATATAAATTGTTATATAAATTCTTTTTTTTTTACTTGAAAATTACCACAGTTTTGTGCCATTTCTTTTCATCCAAGACCAATGGGCTAAAAGTAATTGTTCAAAATGTCTTGTACATTTAAGTTAAAGGGCATTCTGGCCTAAAACTAGTACATTGCATCCTCAGCCTCATCAGCTTGACAGATTTCATTATTTTTTCATGTTTTTCATCATCAATGTTCTCTCACCACAATACCCTGCATACATTATGTAAATATATTATACAACCACTGGGAATTCCTGTCGTGTCAACCAATCCTGAATGTAAGCCCAGGCATTGATCTATAGGGCAATAAATACAACCAAACAAGCTTGGGTGACCAGACATCCGCATTTTCTGGGGACAGTCTCCATTTTTGGAGTCCTCCCCTGGCTGGAGCTGTCCCTGGAAATGTCCTCATTTTTAACCCTGTATTTAAAACACACTGGAAAGCCCTAAGAAAGACTTGAAAGCAGAGCAGTCAAGCAGATGTCTCGCACTGTGTTTGTTTTGGCCAAAAGAGGGGGCTGGCTGCTGTTATCTACTAACCACTTCTACCATTTGCTCGCCTAGTTTTAGAGAACACTGCTGTGTAAAACTCGACCAGAAGCTAGTAAGTCCACAATATCACCACAAACGTTTTTTCACGACACAAGGTAACACAGGGATTAAAAGCAGGGGTGGGTTTATAGGACTTTAATCATACTACCAGATGATCTGATTTGGATAGGCATGCAGTCTACTTGAATGTAGGCTACCATGCGATCTCAAAATAGTGCATCATTTCTTTAAAAACTGCATCACAAATTCAGCCATCCATATGACATATGGCATATGTTGAAAGCAGCCATCTCTGTCTCTCCAGAACTGGAAATAGCCCAGGAGTGTATTTAGGCTTTGTTTTCTGTAGACACGGGTCTCTTTAAACTACCAAAATATTTAATATGAATATGAATTATGGGGTCATACAACCACTGAATCTTTTGTGATAAATGTATCCCTGCCTCATCCTTGTCTAAGCCACTAGACTTAATGACTTTTGAGACCCTTTTTACACTGTAAAAAATGGCTCATCAGATCAACCTAAAAAAATTACTTAATGTAGCAACAAGCAATTAAACTAGTTTTATTCAACTAAAAAAATTTACATTGATTAAAAGAACTGTTCATTCAAAGTATTTTTTTAGGTACAATAAAACTAGCTAATTTACTTGTTACCACATGAAGTATTTTTTAATCTGACAAACCATTTTTTTACAGTGTACTTAGTGACTCTATTTCTACAAAACAATTAGCGAGGGGTGAAGCAAGAAATCCAAATCTTTATATGACTATTGTAATTCATTTCCTGCCTGCTGACCATTGTCTTTATTGAGTGTTCCATAGTTTGCCATTTCTTCACTCACCATGATAGGCTACTGTATGATTTCTGACACAGTTTATAAGGTTACTTAATTAATTCACAATTTTAATACACCCTTTTTAATTTTAAAGATAACAACATTGATAACAACATCGGCTGTCAATGATACATTGACAGCCAAAATGAAAATGTCCCCAGTTTTTATTTCAGAAATCTGGTCACCTTAAAGCAAGCATGTGTGTAACTCTTGCCTAAGTCACTGAACAACAGCTATTCTGTCTTTATTTAGCACAAAATAGATGCCAAAGACAAGTGTTACCCTTTCAGTCAGAAAAAGAAGCCAAACTGAGTTGAGGCATCTGGATAGCCATGTAGCTACCTTGCTAGTGTTAGCTTCTAGCTTGTTGTGTTCCTCATCTGATGAGTAATTTCTAGTAATCAGTTATCTCCACTGTTATGATGATTTGAAGACAGTTAACACGATTATACGGTTGCAAAAAGATGTTTGGCTTCCTGACAGTAACATTAGCTAACAGCCTTTTTTCTGCATTTACCATCAAGTAGGAAAAAAAACTATTGAAAATAGCCCATCTTCATAAATCCCCAAAGAAAGTGTAGTTTTTCAAAAGTTCCTGAACCTCAAGATACATCATCAGAAGAAAGTTTTCCTAGTGTTTAAGGCAAAAAATCACACTCTAGAGACTATGGTGGCACTGCAGCAGGATGCAAATGAACATGTTTGGTTTAAACATGGATGGTTTGAATTCTGAATTGCTGAATAAGTCTGTATAATAAACCAACATTTCCCTCAGAAAAAAAACTTTATTTTTTTACAGTGACATTCACAAACAGTAACACTGATAAAATTAATCCCCTGTGAATTCTTAGAGAATGATAATTGGATAAAATTAATATTTAATCAGGATGAACTTTCACAAACAGCAACAAAAGCAAGTGCTTCACATTATTCTGTTTCCCTCTGCGTGGTCCATTTCCTCCACTTCAGCGGTGGCAAAGGAAAAAAAAATAAAAAGAAGGTACCTGAATGAAAAAGTTCAAGGGCACATTCAAGAACACTATAAACGCATTCATTAAGGCATTTCTAAAGCTAAAAGGGACTATGCTAAAGGTATGCTACATAATTTATAGAGTTCAGGGTTAAAATGACAACACTTCAAGGGGAGCTTATAGCTACAGAGCCCAACTTATAAATGCATTGACACTAATGCTGAAAAGGTCTACTCTGTACAGGAGCTGGAACAAGGCAAAATGCAGTCACATGCAGTTAGAAAAAATATTAACCCTAAGATTTATTAGACTTAAATATCATATGTCTATATTGTTAAGTTTGGTATTGCATTACCTTGCTGTCAGGAAAACCGGATGAAGAGCAACCTTAGTCTAATTTTGTCTATTACTTTTAGTGTATAAACTTACTTAGTGGATACTCTTAAAATGGCAGCAACCATCAGATCAAATTACATTTTTCTTGGAAAAGTTTCACCAGAATATTCTTAGGTTGATTTTATGAGAACATTCAGAACCATTCACCCTTCTCAGCTTAGCCTGCGTGACCATCAAGATTAAATCTTAACAGCCTTGCTAGCTAAGCGTAGAGTACATTGCCAAGTCGAGCTAGCACTGTGCCATGAATTGTATTTACCAGGTTTTGTGCGTAGAACTGAAGTATGCAGTAAAAACTGTCAGTCCATGCTGTAAAAATAAAAACACCTCTCCTGGCTGAGTCAGAAGGCAGAATGTGCAGGGAATGTCAATAACACCCTTCAAGATAAGCCTTCAGTGGAAATTTGTATGCCAGTACAGAGGGAGGTGTTGGAGTATGTCTGCAACACAATGAATGAGTCATGAGCCTCCACAGGTCATTTAGCCAACATCCTCTCCGGCTGGCTCCTACATATCACTGTTGGCAGGACATTCATTCAGCTGGCTTAGAATTAGCCTTCCATGTTTGACTTAAAGCCCCATTTAAGCACTATTGATTCACATCATAGATCTTGCCTTTCAAAGCTAACATGCCATGCTAGCGCTAGCAGTCACCTGTGGAGCAGTTGGATCAGCCGTTGTGCTGGATAGGACTTGAAAACAGTGTTCAATCTGTCTTCGTGCTGGTTAATGTTCAACAAAATTGATGTAAATGGACTGAAATGTCACATCCTGCAGTTAGCGAAGGGTAAACATATAGCGCTAAATGTGATTTAACATTTCATTCTACATATCCTCATCACTCACCCTGGAGAACTCAATCTTTATTTTCCAAATTCCTCAGCATGCTTCAACACAGTATGTGCCAGCACTTGAGCAATGAAGCATGTGGCTATGTTTTCACCGTTTAGCCAGACTACTATAAAGCTGCTTGCTGTCTTCCCTCAGGAACTGCTCATTTCCTCTCAGTGTTGCTCTCCTCTGTCGCAACAAACTTGATTTCGGCATTTGCTGTGCGGGAGTTGATGCTGCTGTCCCTCACCACGTGTCTGAAGAGGAAAGGGAAGGTCTTTCTGAAGGACTTGCGAAAGCTAGCCCCCATAAAGCCATATACAATGGGATTGATTGAAGAGTTTGCATAAGACATACAGTTGGCCCATGTTTTGATCTTGTATGTGGCATAATTGACCTTAAAGTTGGGGTAGAAAGACTGGAAGAGGGCAAAGATCTGAATAGGACCCCAGCAGATGGTGAAGAGCACAACAATGACTACGACCATTTTAGAAATCTTGCTTCTGATGGAAATGGTTCGTTCAGAGAGCAGGTGCACCTGGAAATAGAACAGCATGAGGTTTGGCGAGGCTTTGGGTGATGGACACAGACTTTAATTAAACAGATCAATGGCTTAATCAAATAGCAAGCAATTCCATGTAATTTTTTATTCCTTTCCTGCTGAGAAAAGAAAGTAGAAGGAACAAAATGGCATAACCCATGAATGGGGTGATGAATTGGACTGCCTGAGGCTCCACATGCAATATCTTTTTATTTAACTTTCAAGGCATGCACTCCAATGTTCACAGCAATTTCTACACAGATGAAGGACAAGACAAAGCCATGTTCAGATTGAAATGTTCTGAGTGCCCAAAGTCTGCTCTGACAGTTGTTAGGTTGTGCATACTTACCTGGTGATTATTGTCCACAGGCTCCACAGTTGGCTGGCCAACCCTCTTCAACATGAAGGAGTAGCAGAATGAAATGGTGAGAACAGGCAGCAGGTAGACGGCTATGAACTGGTACAGAATAAAGGCTCTTTCATGGGTCTTAGAGGGGAAGCGTTCCATGCAGTATTGCCTTGGCCCGTACCAGTAGCCATCCTCAAGCCTCTGGTACAGGAAGATTGGAGTGGACAGAATGAAGGAGCCTGGACCAGAAGACAGAAGAGAAGCCCATTATTTAAATGTATCTTAAGGGGAATTATACTTTGCCACCAGGGAAAAATTGGACTGACCAGAAAAGAAATAGAGAAATCCAAAATGTTGTAGCGGCAGGCCACTTGTCAATTATGCATCTCAAACAAACAAATAAATAAATATCCCTGATGTAGCAAAACCTTGCATGGGACATTTCTAACTTTAATGCACATTACAGTAATGTAATTTTACATCATTTGTATTGGCACATTTATCATGAAATATTCACACAATGTTAAGGGCAGCTGCCAATTTCAAATTAATAAAACAAAAAAAAAAAGTCCAAAAGAATCCAGACATGCCTTCTAATTTGTGAATACTTTAAGGTGCATCCATTCCTGATACAGATGTTCAATCAGGCACACACAGCTTGTATAATCTCTATAGAAAAGTAAGGTAAAGAAAATGGAATGCTGTGTAACAGCTGCACATGAGCCTAAGGTCACCATGCTCAATGTCAAGCGTTTTCTGAAGTGATCGAGCACCATCTAATATCTTCAGGATGAGTTGAAGTGGTGTTTGTGATTCAGAACCAATCATCCAAACATCAGTTTCCTGACCTTACTAATGCTCTTGTGGTTGAATGCAGTCAAATTCTCAATGTTCTGTCTGGTGCATCTAGTATAAAACCTTCCCAGTACAGCAGAGATTTTTACTGTAGCAAAAGGAAACAAACTCCCTATTAATACTCCTGATTTCAGAAAAAAAACTTTGGATAAGCAGGTGTCAACTTATGTGCCATATAAAGCATGTAACAAAATGGCTACTTTGGCATATAAGAAACATAAGAACATTGTGTATTCCTAATAATGCATGACTTACCGATCCAGATGCAAATGCTCACAATCATGGCAACTCGGGAGGTGCGGTGACGTAAAGATTTCAGAGGATACACAGTCACGTAGCAACGATCACCACTCATGGCCGTCAACGTGATGCACGTGGCCTGGACCGTTACCTACAAATAGCCAGAGAGCCACATTTCCTTTGATCATGGGTAATTATATAAGCCATTATATAGACAAACTCCAGAAGAGTCAGGGATGAAAAATAGATTTGGAGATGTGCTTTTTTCTTCTTGACAGACAAAAACACGTCTGACACATTGGATAAAGATATTACATGGAACACATTTCATTCAAGCTGAGTGTACCTTCTTTTCTGGAGAGGGGGCGGGGGACATGTCCATTTATTCATCATTTGTCTGGTGAATTAATTGAATGGAGGGTTCAAGATTACTCAACCCCAATTATAGCTCAGGCGAATGCAAAACTGATTCAGATGAGCTATTGCTTACAACGTAAGGGCTGTGATTTAAGCATACTCAAGTGGCCATCAGTCAGCTAATGCAACAGGTGCTGAGAAAAAGACATCTCTTAGCTACAAGGAGGAAGCCTATAAAAGTATATTCTCCAGTATTTGATCTCAGCAAGATGTTCTTAATCTTCTTCTCACCAAGGACCCATAAGCTTGAAGGATATTCATATAAGCTTATGGAATTTGTGTGGACGTTTCAGGTAATCTGTATGCCACATATTGCATAAATGGCATTCATAGAATACCATGTTGTGTGACAGCTTGTGTGCACAGGAGCTCGCTGCTCTTGTAGTGTGGTTCTTTATTATCAGTTATACACTATGGAGATGTGTTTTTCTCTGGGTTGACAAGAAAGGCACAGGACGATGCAGAGGGCTGAATGTGCAGCATAGTAAATAGGACGAGCCTGTCATTATTAGGACTCAGACTGAGAATGATCAAAGCCCACCATCATCAACTGGCCTTTAATTGGCTTCAGTGGAATGTGTTCATTCAGGCCGCCCACAGTGAGTACACAAAGATTTTAGCATCCGGGGGAGTCAGTTATTCATAAGCAAGCCGAAAAACAAATAAAACGTAGCGGGTCGAGACCTTAATTATGTTCCTCTGTAAAGGTGTCACTGAATTTCTCTTGGAAATGAGTAAAAATCACAATGGAAATGACCACTGTGGCCATTGTGGTTTGCTAGCAATATATTTTAGAGTACTCTTATGTTCAAGTACACAACACATTCAGAGTACAGCAGAAAAAAATAAGAGTGCTGTATTGTGAGAGTAGGTCTAACTATTTTTCATAACAATAAAAGCTATGAAGTTATTTTATAACTTTACAACAGGCCAGATTCATACATTAATGCAATAATATCTGTTAACAAATCACTCTAACATTTTTTTCCCAGCATGTTTATCAGCCATTCACTCTTACAAACTACAGTTATTGCTGCAATTGCTTGCCTCTGACTGTCTCAAGGACATGCGGCTGACCAAACTGAGCTTTGTTTATAATTCCAGGTTTTGTCACTGTTTGATGTTGAAACGAATGGAAACAGGTCTTAAGAATTGAGCCTGTCGATACAGAATGTAAAAATAATTTATCTAATATATCACATGACCTTTAAACCCTAAAATGGCCAGGTCCTGCTGGTGGGCCCAAAGTTTTATTACAAACTTCTATAACCTAAGAATAGCTTAACCATTTTCTACTGAAGGCCCTGTAGTTACTGAATATGCCTTAGTATGTAATAAGCCTGGGATTTTATGGGGTTAAGTAACATATTAGAGTAACTCTAGGCTTCTAAGGGAGTTTACATGACTGACTCTTTTACGTTTATATATTGATTTATATTGGTTAATAAAGGGGGAAAAACACAGAATGGTAAGCCTTCATATTTCAGCCACCTCTGATACAAGTACCATCTTTACTTAACACATGGTCTTTTTGATGGCCTGCTGCTAAATCTGATTTGTTCACTCAAAGGTTGCCCTACTTTCCCCCTGAAAGCGTCCTGCTGTGAGGCTGTGACTAATAGCTGAGTCACATCTCTTGTTATCTACACAAAGACGGGTGAATCACCAATCCTCCAAGTCCTGCAAACCATACCATAAAGTGTCCCACCCTCCACAAACTACTCCAAAATAGATCTCCAGTTGGTGTCCTTTTTCTTGAGTCATACTACATCTTCTTTTAAGGTAGCAAGGGGTAATTCAGATTGATCACAGACTTTCTGAAGTGATCTGTGTCACCATTAGACCATTCACTATCAGTTATATCCTGAAAGCAGCAATTTGCCGGTAGTGGGAGAAAATCCATTTATTGTCATAGAGTCTTGGTGCAGAGCCTTCTGTTATACTGAGATAAAAGTAGGCGCCACAGGTCATGATCAATGAGTTGCCTGTTTTTCTTAATCAAAGTACATGATAGTCCAGTATTCCTCTAGATTTCTGGGGAAAAATGATAAGTACAAGGAAAATTAGGAAAAAAACAGGAATTTCCTCAGTGATAAACTATTAGGGATCCTACACTTTTTCGTGTGTTTATTATTCATTTTTTGATTGCTATCTATGTGGGTTCATATGAAAAACAGTCATAATTAATTTTCCATTGATCATTTTTCAACCCCTCTTTATTCTTTAGAATAAAACAGGCTGTTTTTGTTATTTTGGCTTAATCACTAAATCACTTAAGTAAAAATATTGCTACTTAAACATTTGCTGATGTTTTGAGGTGTTATTTTTGTATTGGTAGTGACAAAATGCAGTGCTCAACAGGTTAATTTCTAAAAATAAACATAAGACATAGAGTCACTCAAAAGCAAATCTAAAGGATGTTAGTCTAAAGCTCAGATCAGATAAAAGTCTGAAATGGGTTTTGAACTTGGCCCTTCATATATGTAAGTGACCTCTGTTCTGATCATTTACTTTCTATTCGGATGTGGCTGTCTTAAACCCTAACCCCTTAATTTCAACTTGTAAAAATAATTCTTAGATTTTTTGCATTTTAAATTTTTGTTTTAAAAAGATCCTTTTGATTTCTTTTAAATTAAAATTAAATTGAGATTTATCTTGAACCCCTCAAAATGAGCTAAAATTGTCACTACCAAGGAAGTCACAACCGAAGCAATTGATAAAGTTTCATTAGTGTTATGATTGTTTTGTTGTTGACAAAATGGAATGTTCAATCATAGTAAAAATAAGTAAAATATCGGAAACGATGCTATCACGAGTTTTGGTGGTGTTATTTTGTGTATTGGTAGTGACAAAATGGAATGTTCAATCATTCCTTTTTTATAAAATAAACTTAATTAAGTTATAGGGTCACTCTAAGCAAAAGGATTTTAGCCTAAAGTCAAAATCAAAGTCTGCAATATGTTTTCAATTCAATAATTTTAAATTAGTTGAAGGTAGAATGATCCATAGTCTACAATCTTAAAATGATGGTTTTTCAAAGGTTCTTTAGTCAAGAAAATGGATTTACATAGATACATGAACATTCAAAGAACAGCTGAGGGGATCGAACCGGCAACCTTCCGGTCACAAGGCTGGTTCCCTAACCTCCAGCCCACGACTGCCGTAATGGTTTTAGGTTGTAAAACGACAATGTAATGGTTGTTACTGTTATTATTACAGTACAATACTGTATGCTTTAACAACTCTAGTGAGACAGTATTCCTAAGACGTTAAATAACTGGAATTATATAGACTTTACCGTCTTTTAATTAAAAGAAAACATAATTATTATACTGTAAATTAACAGGTACATCTGGCAACCCTAATGCAGTACATTTTACCATTTTTCACAGATTTTTTTAATAGGACCCAGTAGACAGCTGCTTCAGAGACTAGGTTAAAAATGCTGGAGTATTCTCCAACTCTAACTGACTATAACCAGTTTTCTTACTCATGGATGGTCTACTGTTTTGATTTGCTCCCAGCGGGACACATACCTGTTGAAGAAAGGCAACAAATTTGCACATGAAGTCCCCAAAGATCCAGCCCGGGAGTGGGTAGAGGGTGGCTGTGAATGGCACACAGCACACCAGGAAGATGATGTCTGTGGCGGCCAAGTTAGCTGCAGAAAGAAAGCTATGCTTAATGTAGGTGTCCAGCGTCAAGGCAACATACAGTACAGAATTTCTTAAATATACAAGGAACCATCTAGAAACTATATGACTGTATGCTATGATGTCTCAATCATACAATCCTATAAAAAGAATACAGTCAAAAAAAAACATTGTTTTTTTGTGAACATTTCATGATGAATGAACCCATAGAAAAGCTCCAAAATACTTAAAATAAAATCTCTTTACATGAAGCTATATAGTTAAGAACATTTGTGTCTTCTCCTATAAAAGTTATCATTTTAGAAATACACGTTGTCTTTGCTGTATTTATTCTTGTGCATATTCAGCAGCCATGTGCAGCACAATTTACTATTTTACAGTCATATGTGAAAGTTTGGGCACCCAGTCAAATTAGATGTTTATTTGATTTTCTAATTGAAAATAAGAGAAAACAGAAAATATAGCATGTGCAAAAGTTATGGTACATTTTATGTTTTATTTTTTCCAAAATATTAAACTCAGCAAAATCTGCAGAAAATGACACATTTATGTTTGTTCTCTGTAGAGGATGTGTGAACTTTTTATCATATAGAAAATCAACAAAACATGTAATTTTACCAGGGTGTTCAAACTTTTGCATATGATTACTTACTGTTTAATAATATGAATATATGATTTTATATTGGGTAGCCTTCAGAAATTGCTCTTATCACCACTAGTAACAAAAGCATGGCATGATTCAGTATGAATTATTTATCACTTCTAGTTTATTAAAACTAGCAGAGAGGTTCTATTGAAAGTGTGGATTCTAAACTTTCAGGCAATGTCACCTTTGTGTTTGTAAGTACAAGGGGAAATATTTTATCATTATTTGAATTTGATGAAGCTGTTGTGGATACAGTCTTGTTCTGCAAAAAGAAAAATCAATCTGTACATGTTTTGTCATTTCATTGCATCAAAACAAGCAAAAAAGGTACAACATGCAGATTCCAAGCTGTAATAAAGGGTTAATAAAGGGAAAAAACCCATAGAAGATTGAGTATTTTTATTTTACTTTGCTTTACTTTTTATCTAGATACCATTTTAAAGTCACATCTATATTCTCACATAAAGTACAATTACGTCTATAACATACTGATACTTAGTGATACTTTTTTGTTGTTTTGGCTCTGCACATTGGATTGGACTTCCAGCTTTAATTTTAGGGTATTTTTGTCCATACTGGATGAATCATGCTGGAAATACAGCCCTTTTACACACAGTCCTCTCATTTTCAGGACAGAAACGCAGCTGTGTGTTGCTGGATCATTAGTTTACGCACAAGAGCTAACAAAAGGTCTACAGTTGACTCTAGTTGCAGCATTTGCATCTGGAGTCTGTTAATGTAGTTGCTCATCATGAAGGCCAATAAAGCTGGCTATTATGAGACTAAAAAAACAATAAATCAGTCAAAGCCAAAATATCAGGAGCATCAAAATGAAAGTAAATAGACATTTATTTAGTGTTGTCACTATTGATAAGCAATATCAATAGTGATCAAACTAGCAAACCATGGAAGCCCACAGCAGTGAATGAATGAAGAATGTTTTCAGCCATGAGGAGAAATTATTGAACAGGCCAAGAACATTCTGCAGGATATCGGCTCAGATCTACCATATGGAGAAGAGTACACCAGCATAAACACTGGTAAGCCTTAAGAACAGAAAGGCTAGGCTACTAGGCTGCTATAAATCACATAATGTAGTGTTAACACAAAAGAGGCTGGAAAATGCCACTTACAGCATAATTAGCTAATGCTTGCTGGTTAGCCAGATGACAGCCTTCCCATGCTAAACCAGCAGGAGGTGATAAAGTCACCTACATTTTCCTTGAACAATTAATGATAAGGTTGAACAATTACCAACCAACAGACTAGTTTGCTATAACACCACACATACAACTATTAATGCATAAAGCTACTACCAGCAGTAGCTATAGTACAGCTAAATAGGCAGACTTAAATAGAGGGTACAGTGAGGGCTGACATGCGTTGCAGCTCAGCAAGACACACTGAGTTCACAGACACTATAATGATAAAGACTGTGTAGCTGTGGAATAAAGCCTTATGGCCAAACATGATGAAGACTGTACCAAAGTGATAGAATGGTGGCAGATAAAGGGGAATTGCTCATGATCCCCATAGATGCATCATAACTTCTCAGATTCAACAAAATGCTGGACAGTGCTTCACCTTGCAGCAGAACAATGGCCTAAAGCAACTGTCATTTTTATCAAGGCCATAAAGTGGAATGTCATTAAGCGATCCGTCTGTCACCCATAACAAACCCCAGTGAGAATTCATATCACTTACTAGAGGCAAGACTTGAGGCAAAATGCCCTCAAAACAAACATTATTGAAAGATGTTTACATTACATGCACAGCATCATCAGGGAAGCTACCCAACAACATCTGATGTGTGTAGACTTCAGACTGCTAAGGAATTCTGATTAAGCACTAAACATGATGGATTCCCTTAAGAATATTAAACTATTCCATTTACTTTTGAACCCCTGGAGCAGGGGCTATATATAAGATGTGATTCCCTTTTATGTATAGCCCAATAGAGATGTAAACACCCTGAAATTAGAGCTGACACGTCGCACTTTAACCTCAGAGTTGTCATTTCATTTCAGATTCATTGTGCTGGAGAACAAAGCCAAAACAACAAAACAGTTTGTTTTTTTTTCAATTACTTACAGACGGCACTGTAACTCTTTTATCTACATTCTAGCTATGAAGATGAGAGACATTCCACAGTGCTTCAAATAATCCATTTAAGTATTGACATTCTGACAAAACTGCAGGGACAAGGATCTGATGGCCCCATCTCTATAATGAACAGACCTACTTATACCTTCTGAGCACAAAAGAATCAGCGTTTCAACTCCTACAAAGCCTACGTTGAAAGATAGATCTGATAAAGTTTTAAGTAGTAATTTTGTAGGAGTAGATTTGGCAATAATAAATCTGTTTGATTTATGTTACTGAAATGGTGCTGTTTTTACTGGTTAGTGACAGTAACAGTGGTGATATGTAGAGTGCTGTGAGATAATACCAATGTAATTAACACAAGTGTGTCTGTGTTTTTGTATGGCGTATGACATTTAGGTGACAGTGGCACACAAACTAACTCATGGAAAATGTAACATGGTTATTTTAAGTAAATGGTTTGGAAGGTTTCATTACCCTTTTGTATATCCATAGCACCCTCATCTGCAAATTTTGACTACAATCGGAGAGATATTTCTCAAAACTCACTGTAAGAAGTGGTTTTGTAGTTTTAAAAGGCTCAAAACCTACATTTTTAATGCATTTTATTTTTCCCTGACATTTGTGTTGTTTTATGCACCAAAAACAGACATAATTAATTTTTCCAACTTCTCTTTATGCCTTGAAATTAAACAGGCTGTTGTTGTCACTGTGCCTTCAAGATTGATATACGTTAATGACCTCTGTTCTGATTGGTTGCCCTGTCTGTATTGTGCCTCATTTAAAAAGCAGTCCAGAATGGAACACTGCTTATTACTTCAACATGAATTGCAGGGGGCCAAACTGCTGTAAGCTGAACAGGTGGATGTAATAATAATAATAATAATAATATAATAATAATAAATAATAATAATACCACATTTATTCAAAGAGCACTTTTCATTCAGGTGGCAACTTTATAGAAAGGTGAAAGTTTAACAGTAATAGAGGAAACTAAGGTTGAGTTTGTTTTCCTTCTATTACTGTACAGTAACAGCAATCTAAATAAATAAATAAATAAAAATAAATAAATATGCAGTTTATGCAGTTTAGTTTCCATGTATAGATAGTATGGATTGGTTGAGTAAACAGTACTTTTTTTGAATTTTAACAGTGTTTTTGTACTACATCATACATAAAATCACATTTCAAAAAAGTAATGAAAATTCCATTTTGCAGGCTATGAGTCCATTAAAGAAGATTTGTTCATCTGAAGTGAATACTTAGATTGTTTTACACCATTTTGAACCACACAACTAAACAACTCACAGTGAGAGCTACACTGGCTAAAGTACAGCCTGAATATGATGGGGTTAGTTTTAGCACAGTGTTACAACAACAAGCCTCTCCAAATAGAAAATAAGAGATGACAGATGTCCATATCTCCTTCATTTTTTTTTTGCATAATTATTTACTTCTTGAAAATATTTACATTCAAAATAATCAAAACATACTATAGATGTCATATTAAATATTTTGTAATTGTACCATGATGATATTTGCTCTTCTCTTTCGTGGTTCTTTTCCTTGTGTCTTTTCACTAATCATATTTATTTTGATGCATATACTGGCTGAAAAGCTTGTGTGGTTAAAACATCACACAAGTGTATTGAAATCTTTTTAAGTCTAAAAGCACTGAACTAATCTTGAATGTATAAATGTGATTCGAATGTGATGATGTCATGGTTAATTTTATAAGAGGGGATGAGACGTTAATTAATTTTTAATGCTATAAGAAAATGCTAGCGATTTTGTTCTGATTAGTCTTCTTCAGTGATGACTACATGGTGTGATTAGACACAGGCGTTTGACATTCAAATGTTGCCCATATGCCAGTGCAATGGAAAACTTCAGAATCATATCCTGTGCATGAAACTGGGAAATAAAGATTTATAACTTTTTTTTTTATTCTGCCTCTACCTTCAGTGGGAATTCATCCATCTCTGCTTTTTACAGTCACCAGTTTCCTAAATAAAATGGAGGACAAGCTGAGCACACTAAGACAACTATCTAGAATACAATTTCAGGTTCATAATAATATGCAATAATGAATTCATTTCAACTGCAAAACAGTTCCTGTCTAAATTAGACGCTAAAATGCCTAGAAGAAAAAGGTGTCTACGCATTTGCCTTATTTTTATTGTTAGTTGTAACCCATAGTTACACCTAGTTCGTTTCTGATCTGGATGCTTTAAAGCAATACAGTTTCAGAGCCTGGATAATCTGTATTGGGTTTTTGTAGCTTGTTATTTAAACAATAGTACTGCAACAAGAAAAGGTAATATATGTGTATATAATTTAAATTATACATGTCCCTAAGACACTTACAACTAAAAGCACATTTGCCTAGTTACTTAGTTATAACTGGTCTTTATGACACAGAATGAAATTTCTACTTGGTATTTTAAGGCAAAACAGTTTAAGAAAATAATGAATTTATTTCAAATGCAAATCTGCTTTAGTGCTTGTCTAGATTCCGAATTTGTGGTTTGTAGGTTATGCAAATTTGAGACCTAAAATGGATTAAAATGCATTATTATTATACATAATAATCATTCCATTGCAGCTGTGCATGTGGGGAAATAGCCAGGGTCAGCTGAAACTTACCAATGTAGAAGTTGGTAGCAGTTCTCATCTGCCTGTGCTTGGAGATGACATAGATGACCAGAGAATTGCCTATGAGCCCCACCAGCATGATGAGAGAAAAGAAGAGAGGCACCAACCAGGCGTCCGTCAGGAACGGGTGCTGCCCCCCTTCCTCCACATCTTCCAAGGACAAGTTCCCTGCTGAGTCGTTCAGCAGCAGCTCCGAAGCGTTCCATGTCTCGGTGGGAAACATGGTGACTGAAAGTTTTTGTCTTTTGGGAGTATGACAATAAAGGTATTGACTGAGTTCTTCTCTTGGGAAGAAAAACAGCACAACGGATTAACAAAATCTCTTATCCAGCTAAACATAAACCTCTGTTTAAATTGCTGTGATTTCTTTGCAGTCTTGGACGGAAATCTTGTCCTCTTATCTGCATTGGCCGCTCTTCTCTGCTTTGAAAAAGGAGCCTTCAGAGCTGCGTCCACTCCAAGACAAGTTCCCATTGGCTTTATACTGAGCTCCAACGCACGTGGGCATCAGTTTGACTGTGACTGGAGAATGGTGAACTGATGTGGGGTCTCCTAGCAACAGTTTCAGGCTCTGTCTTTCATATCAAGCGCAGCAAGTGAGAGAGAAAGCGGGGTGAGAGAGAGACACTCATTACACACACACGTGTAATATAGATGGGAAAATAGCAGAAAATGCTTGAGGCAGTTTGTGTTTGGAGACAAAAATTCCTTTACACAACAGCTAATTATCCCGGCATGGAATTTTCATGTCCACAGCTTGTCAGTGCCCAATCACAACCTTTGCTATGCACTTAAAACATCGCTTATCTTCTGCCCATGCAGATGAGACCACTAAGGAGGGTCTCCTCAATAATGCACTACTGATTATCACCACACCAGCAAGACTAATTCACACCCTGTTTGAACTCTTTGATTGGACCCAAGGTTTTAGAGCAGGAACTAATCACCACTAAATGCCCACAGATAAGAAGCGCTTCATTGTGAGCACTAATGGAGTGGCCACACATTCTGTTCTGCTCCTGTCAAATTGACTTTTAGAACATCTTTTTCATAATTACTCTTTTAAAAGCTTCAGTCGTGTAATTTAATAATCTAATAAAATAAATTAATAAGTTACCTCTTTGCATAAGGCACTCAGAGTGATGGCTATTCATTGCCCTCCATAAGTATTGCAACAGTGAATTCAAATTTGACCTTTTGCTGTATAATAAAGAACTTTGGGTTACAAATAAAAATGAAACAGAATGCGCAGCCAACTTAAACTTACAGTTGTTTGAAGGTATGTGTGTTTGTTATATATAATTTATTAATTGTTACATATAATTTGGACTTTGAAATTGTATTTCTCTTCAGAATATCCAGTAAGAATATAGTGTTCCTCAGCTTGTCCTTCTGCACATTACCATTTTTCAAGGAAGTGATGGTTGAGAACAGCAGAAGTGGATGAAGTCCAGTTGAAAATAGACCCAGACAGAATTACAGTCAGTGTGATATTGGAAACTGAAATGGCAGAAATTTTGTGGTGTCCTCATTCTGATTCTAGAGTAAAAGAAGCCACTATCAAACTAAACCTCCTCCATCTACACTCATCAGCCACTTTATTAGAAACTAGTTCTGCCAAATGATTGACAAAGTAAATCACTAAACCCTAAGAGAGATTTAAAAGGCAGTGCATCTTTTTACAGCTGTAGGACTGACTGAAAAGCTTTATTATTTTCAACAGGAGAATGCAAAGTGCACAGGATGCTGAACATGAAAGTAACATTATTTCCACATGGTCAATGCAGTTTCCAGTTTTCATCACTGACATTAAGTGAGAGCATAAGTGGCTGCATGTTCCAACCATTTATTGTATATAAAGACAGGGCTTCCATTTTCTTTTGCTCACGTTCTTGTTTAAACAGCTCATTGATTCTTGTTACATTGGAGGCTCTCAAGAGAAACTGTAGCGTGTGCACTCTTTAAAAAGATGGCTCTTCAAGAAGCATGAGTTCTATATAGAAGCATTTCATGCTTAAATAGTACTTTGCAAGGTGAAATGTTTCTTCAGATAGATGGAGAATGTGTTTTCCTGTAAAGTCACTATATTGGCGATGCATGTTTTGCTTGTTTTGACAGCAACAAAGTACAATCAAAGGTGGTCAGAGAGCCTGTGAGAGTGAGAGGCCAGTGAGAACAAACGTCTTTTATGGTCTTGTCTAATCTGCAAAGTGAGTTAAGGGGAGTAAATGTATCATTGTTAATGCATTTTTGTCACAAAGGACACAGAAATTAAACTTCTACAAAAAGCCTTGTATGCTTTTTTCAATTCTGGAGAGTTATATATTTGTTTTTCTATGTTTTCCATGCTCGCAGCAACAAAAATCACCACCCACCACCCTCACCACCCACAGTCTGAGCACATCACTTGGTAAGTGCAATAAAACAAAAAGGAAAAAACAAGCCTGAACATGGCAGATTTGATGTTGATTGTCCAACGATTTGAGCAAAACCTTATTAGACTGGATTTCCTGTAGTCCTTTATTGATGTATACCTCCAAAATTGTAAATTGATCTAAGGGTCTAACTAGAAAAACGTATTTACAATGTGGTAGGTATGTCTTTTGGGGGCCCTGTATCATGCTGTATATTCTCAATACTGAGGTCTGTCTCACAAAGCAGTGTTTACCCAGCTAACTTTAAGCTCAATTTGATCTAATGCTGGTGGCAGTGATGACAGCATTGGTTGTTTTACCATCATAAATGCTTTACTTTCTATATACTTAGGTAATATTATTTCTTTTTTTATTCTTTAGTGGCTAGTCATAGATGTCACACTTTCATGTGCATGAGCACAAGGATTAATCGTAGCCTGAGAATCTAAACCTGCATTAATTGCAACCTAAGTATCGAAACCTGGATTAACAAAGAAAGTTGGTGGCTGCTGTTGTAATAAAAAAAAAAAAGTTAACCATGGCTGTGTTTGTAAAGCTATAACTTGGTCAGAATGCTTGTGTTGAACCTGCTTTGTTAGAGAGAAAAAACACACCTTTATCTTTAAGCTTTTTCTCCTTCCCTTTTTGAGACATGATTAGCCAGTTTCTACAGCTGGTGACTGACAAATTGAGCATCAACAAATGGAATACAGGCTGTAATTCTTGTACACCTGCATGGTAAAGTTAAAAGGTAGGTGTTTCTAACAAAGGCCGGTGTGCGCATATTCATAATCCTAATCATAATTTTAATGCTGTTACTTCAGTTGTCCGATATGCAGTATATGTATCCAAGACAATGTCCAATGTCCAAGTTCATGTGTTGGGAAAATAGGAAAGTGCATGATGTTACATAACACAGTTTGAGAGCAGTGCTATTATTTTTCCATTGTACCTTAAGGGGACTAGAAACTGCAGCCATTGGGACTTACCACAGCTTCCTGCAGAACTCTGCAATAACCACAGCTTTGTCAACCGCTAAAATCTCAGAGGAGAAATTCAGAACACGAAAGAACAGGAGATTTACATAGCTCTGCCAAAACCAAAAGTCAGACATGTTCTGCAAAGACTGAGCTTTTCTGAACCAAACTGGATTTGTGAAATCCATTCAAACAACATGTCTCTGAAATGCAACCATCAACAATTCAGTCTTAATTGGGACGGAAAGCCAGTTGAGTATGTGAGCCACTTCAGCAAAGTTTGTTAGCCAGCATCAGCCAGAATAGGGAGTTCTGAAGGTTGGTTGGAAGCCACAAAATCCATATTTGTATCCAGCTGTCAGCGCTCGCCCTTGTCTCTAGGGACTAGCCCCTGCTTTGGCCGAGCATTCGGATGCAGCGAAGGCTTGAACTTTAAGGGCCGCCTGTCCAGAGGCTGCATCAAAGATGCAAGTCATAGCATGGGCCCCCACAGGGTCAGCCTAATGTACTGCATAACACATCCGCCACGGGCATAAATCATTCTTTTTTCATCAATGCACAACTGCTGTAATTATCTGTGAAGGTTAACAGTTATGGTGACGTGTGGGTTTGAGGGTGCACGGTGCACATCAACACAGAAAAATAAGCATACACACACTGATTTGCAAATTGCTTGCTCTGTAAAGAAGCTATCATCTAGTTTTCAAACATCACACAATATAATGAGAGAAATGGGAGCGCCCAACCTTTCCAGCGAAGAGCACAAAAATATATACCATAATGTGGCCTTTTCTGTGGATCAATTTCTTGCGCTCTCAGGTGCCGCTTTTAAAAAATGGTGTGTTTGTATGTTTGTCCTCAACCTTTTGTGGAAATAAGAACACTGTTCTGACCTTTGCTTGCTCTACAGTCATTTCATCATGACAGCGACAGCTAATCCACCGCCAGCAATAACACCGCTAGATATGGAGAATCCGTGGGATCAACTTAGAGTGCTTACATAATGGCCGCAATTTCATTTTACATTCCTGCTCCATGCTGTGTTGCTCTCATGGAACAGATATACAATCTTCTAGGCAATCTCTCTATGGAGACATGCATGTACTTTTTGCAATTCCTCTTATCTTTTTGCTCACTGCATGATTCTAAAGGGCCCCCAGTTGTGGTTTATGGTTAATGTTACATTAAAAGAAAAGGTCCAAAATCTATGGAAGCCTGTTTTCACCACTTGAAAACAGGGCCATATATAATGTCACAATCATGACATTATTAGGGTTCAAACATGCAGTGCGTAGAACTCTATTAGAATTATTTCTTATTATTCAGACTTTTCCCTAAAACAAATTGGCCAGACCAAACCATAGGTCATAGAGATATAAAACCTGGTCAGTAGGTAGTACTCCCTCCCACAACTCAGGTGCATGACATAGGCCCAATCAGTCTTAAGGGGGCGCAGTCCTACATGTTTGGCCCCATAACTCCTAAATCAAAATTTTTAGACACAAAATTAATTTTCACAAAATTTCATTCCTGATTCCTTGGGTCAAGCCAAACTAATTTACAATTTGGATCTTTTTGATCCATCTACTTATATTTGCATAAGATGCAAAACCTACTCTTAATAATCCTAGCTTTTTTGGTTTGATCCTCATATAACTGTTGTTTTTAAAAAATTCACAAGAACCTGAATCTCAATGATTATCAAAAAAAAAGTTGACTTTTGTCAGCAATATGGCTGCCGCATGCTAATTCTGGAATAGTTCATAAGTGTTTAAAAATTCTATAACCTGAGAATGCCTCATCAAAAACATTTGAGACTTAATAGCATGATTCAGTAGTTGATTCTCAGGTAGACTATCAATTTTGAGGAGTATATATTGTTAACTGTTTCTCAGTATCCGTACCTCCAATCAAGCTGAAATTTTGCAGGCA